TTTAAATAGTAAAAAGCTGCTCCGTGGTCTAGTGGTATTTCTCTCGCTTCACATGTGAGAGGGCCAGGGTTCGCATCCCGCAAAATCCAATTTTTTCCTCGAAATACTTTTTTTTTACTAAATGATAGTATTCAGCATGTGAAATGAAAAATTTATGAGGTCTGGCTTGTACAAACTCATAAAATCATCACTACAGTGTGATAAATATTCCATATAAAAAGAATCTTCTAAACACATAATAAAGAATAATCAATCAAACCTTTATATCCATATTGGCATATTTTATTTGCTTCAGTATACATTTGATAATTCTACAAATTCAGTCAAGGGGATCCGAACTCCCACCCACCACCCCCGAACTGCGCATGGTTTACTTTTTCCCTAAGCGGGGGACACAAATTCTCTGAATTAGCTTGTTTTAGTTAGGTACGCGTTGAAAAACTACTTAAACTTTTTTTTTTCTCTCGCTGCTCTATTGCGTAAAATTACTCCAAACATTTTGGATTAAATTACGTTTTATAAGTGAGTACCTACTTTTGCATACTTGTAGATGGGAAGACATGCCTTTGCCTGTATATAATCTGGTATTTATTTTGATGTCTACTACCGATTTTCACGATTGATTTTCAAAATTGTTTTAAGTTTCATAATTAAAATATATCACACACTTTTTAATGTTTTTGGTGAAAAGTATGGTGACACGTTAACGTTACTCCCCTAGTTTCTGCCTAATAATTAATTAATATACATGGTACTCACGACTAAATCTTCCAAGCCTTGATCGTGTACAAGTGTGAACTCTATTTCTTGTGTTGCATTCGAGGAATCATCAGAAGGGGCTTGTAGCTTCAAAGAATAGAATCCATACACCGGAAATAAAGACGATGGAATAGTGTAATTGAAAGTAATACCGTCATCAATTTGAAGCCAATGCATTGATTGAACAAAATTATAAATATCTTTCTTCATTTCTTCTGTTTCATTGGCGGCCGACATTTTTTGAAGAGAAATCCAATAGTTTTGTGTCATATTTAGATCTATTTCGAGGAGTAAAGATAAAGTGACATTTTCATCGTTTTTTAATTTGATTGGTTCCGTTTGTTCAAAAGCAAACCGAAATGATGCCATGCTACCTGTATAAAATAAATATTCAAAATTTCATTGTTCAATGTTTTTTTTAAAAAAATAGTTTAATAGTTTTTTTCCCACTGGAATGACTTATATGAAACTCATAAACTTTAAACGTATGATATTTAAGGGAAAAGTTGATTTATTAAGTTGTAACATTAACTAATTATTTCTGGAACTTAATCATCGGTATTAAAAAGAAACTCACCGTAAGGTAAGCCTAGTACACACAAAAGGAAACACATCCCTAAGTGTGTCACAGGGTGTACATCGAATTCTTTGTATCCCATCTTTGCGGATAAAAATCTACAACTCTAACGGCATCTTCTTCTTACACCCTAAGGATAGTAGATACAAACAAGAAAGGTGCCTAAATGGTATATATTTCTGGTCCTATATTGTTGCAAATGATACATTTCCAAAATATTTTAAGATATTGTTAATTTTCTATGATTTTCAAAATCCTACTTTTCTGCAAACATTTTTTTTAAATCTATACAAATATTTTTCCACTTCAAATCCTATTATTGTGAAGCTTTGAATGAAATACCAGTATTAAAAATTATGTAGTGATTGTGTCATTTTATTTATTAAAACGCAACTCAAAATGAATTTTTCAAATTTTAAAACTAGTTTGTTTGCTTCATTCGTCCTTTCACATTCATTTTCAAAACATAATGAATATGAACTCAACATGTGTGTTACATGATATATCTCGTTCTGGTTAAAAATTATCAAACAATTAGGATAAAGATAAGATTTCCATACAAACCAATGTGTTTATCTTTTCATAAAAACACGTTTAAGGACTAAAATTTGCACTGAAAAACAAATCTTGTTTTAGTTCTTTACTGTCTGATGTTCGGATATTCATAGAATAAAGAATAAGACAAAATGTTTAGATTTCATGTACATGTTGATACCAAATGTTAAAAGTTGTGCTGTTTAATTAATATTTCAAAAGAATGGTTTGTTAAAGAATAAAGTAATAAAGTAGGCAGAAAGTTAGAGGATAAAAGCTATCTTTATCAACAATAGAATAAAACAATAAAGTTAGAGTATAAAAGCTATCTTTATCAACAACAGAATAAAACAAACCATTTAATTCTGCTACTGTTAAATGACTACAATTCATTGAGGAATTTTTTCCTTCAAGTAAAGATTGTAAGATACAGATTGTAATATACAAACGGCTTCCATATTGTTGAAAAAATAAAAACAAATAAAAATAACACGGACTAATTTTTCAAAATAACCAAAAAAAAAAAAAAAAAAAAAAAAACCAAATAAAACCGTAAACAAATTGCAAATTAAAACAACAATATACCTTCATTACCTGCATACGTATTTTGAATATCTCCGTTGATTCGATACGCAATAGCATCTACGTATGAACAATTTCTAAAACGAGGTGAATTATTGACAAATAAGTTGATGAAACAAGAATTTCAGCCGTCTAGTTTAAAGTCACCATTTCGTAAGTTCTATGGTATGGCCTGGTCAACAAATACAATGTATCATTGAGTCAAATGCTGACTGACGTTTTTCATACTGATTATTATTTATACACTGAATTGACGACGGATTTTCCCGTTATTTCCCGATTATGACAAGTAGCATACGGCGAGTTTGACCGGTCGGCAGGGGATGCTCACTCATCCTTTGTACCTGATCCCACCTCTGGGGCTCGTTTCTCAAAAAGGCCTAAGACCAGGCGTAAGCTTAGTCCGGACTAAATCAGTGACTAAACCCGGAAGTCGGACTAAGTTGCGTTTCACAAAAAGGCGGAGACTTAGTCGAGACTAAGTTTTGGTTTAAATGTAGGCCTGCTCATGAGTAGGCGTAAGTTCTTAGTCTGTACACAACTTGGGAAAAGGGCAAGTGTTTTAATCATAAAAAGTTAAAAAATGAATTATTTTATACATATGCGATATAATACCTATTCATATACATGCACATAATTATATGATATGCGAAAAATCATGAAAATCAATAAACAACCTATAATATTAATATTATGTAGAAAGGTTATATCCATCGAGGATGCAGACTTTTTCCTCAAAAGGTGGGATGAACTAGAAATTTGTAATTAAGAATTTTGAATTCAAGTTGGGTAGGAATTTAAGAAGTGCCAGATTTGTTTTTTAAAAATGTAGGCACGCGTAATTAAAATTGAGAATGTGTGTGTAATAATGCAAATGGTGTATATACATATGTTTTTCTACATGGCCTTTGTAATGTAAAACTGTATGTCCAAAATGTAATACATGTATCATAAATGCAGATACATGTATCACCTTGATTGCCAATATATGTCTAATTCATACTGAATAAATTGATCGAAATTATAAAGAATTATATATGGTATGGACCATTTTTAGGCCCCCATTCAGAAAATGTTTTACTTGTGTAAATTTCTTTCTTGTTCAAGGCGTCGCACGTATATAAAATCGTCGCTTACTGTATCAAAAATGTCACTTGAAATACCGCTCACAAACTCTTCACAAGTACCGGTAATAAAAATTAAGTTTTTATACTTGATATTCATTTATTTACCATATGCTACTGGTCTAATTCATTTGTTGACTAAAGGTTCATACATTCTAAAACAAAAGTGTATTGCTGTACGACATTTATTCTACACGATTTTACTAAAGTCTCACGTACATTGATATATAACTGTCGTGCATGGATCAAGAAGCATGCATATGAACAAGTACATGTATATACATATACACGTGTTTAATATTATATATTTGCATTTACCGCTATGTGCGGTAAATGCCAGTTATCGAAGAAGAATAGTCTAAGCGCGATAACTCCCTCTGCCCTCAAACAATTTCCAAAATAACACAAAGTCGTGTAATTCGCTTGCGCGCACATCCTTTCCGCTTCACCGATTTTGTATACTTAGTAAACAATATTTACAAAGTCACCATGTACATAATTTTCGCGTCTTTTAATCATTCCATAAACGAATGATAAATAAATTAATTGAATGATATTGCAACAAGAAGCAATAGTAGAATTTTGTATCAAAGCACCTCTTCACCATTCTAAACTGTTAAATGATCATCTGAAGTCTTGTATACATGACAATACGTGAGTACACCTCAGAGTCGGTTGTTTAAGAGCATGGAATACACGTAAAATTTTTATTCATTGAATACAATAAGCACATGAATACAATCAATTGTCCACATAAAGACTTATTCAATGGAGTGGAGAAAGCCACCATATTGCCGTTGTTAATGAATTGTTTGTAAATGTGAGCATGGAATTAGTAGATAATGATTTAAAATTTGTGATAAGCATGAAAAATGCTTGAAAAAATGCATAATGTCTTTCCGAGAGCGATTTGAAAAAACTGACATTTTATAAGCGTAGTGTGTTTAAACAATAAAATGCTTTCTTTGTTTGTTGTTACTGGAATGAACGGAAGCAGCTGTTGCAGAAAAAATACATAACCCGCGTAAGCGGGTTATGTAAATTTTTTCTGCAATAGCTGCGACCGTTCATTCCAGTAACAACAAAAATGAAAGACATTTTATTGTTTATATTTATATCCTTCCTTCATATTAAGTATTCAAAAACGTGAAACATAGAAATATGCTTTTATTTTGTTGTAAGTTTCAAGATAGGAAGAGCCATTCAAGGTTACTTCCATATATGGAAGTTCAAACGTCATCAAATAAAATCGGTCACCAAAAAAGGTCACAGATTTTGAGTTCAAAGAAATAAAATAAGCCATCAAAATATGATTGTAAACACGATTTAATAAACAGTATTGAACAATTTTTAAACAAATAATCAAAAAAGTAAGTTTGTAATGTTTTAATTTGCTGCATCTAAGTAGGTCGCAGAGTGTTTTTTCAGTCTGCGTGATTTGGCTCCTGCACAACGTGGTGATCATGGTGATGGTGGAAATGGACTTCACAGTTCAGAAATGACGAATTCTGCACTAGTGCTGAGCTTCGGTTGGAAGATTTGCTGTTCAACGCAAGGTTGTTGAAAGACTGCGACGAGAGACCGGTACCAGCAGGTACTACAGTTCCATGAGTTGCAAATGGTTTATCAGGTCGAGGAAATTCGGATTTTGAGGTAGGCGTACCGACTTGTTCATTTATTGTAGGATTCATTATTTTGGACAAAGTGCAGCTAAGATTTTTTTTCTGGGTCGATGATATATTTCTATTATACGACCTCAAGGACCCCTCATTTTTGTGGTCTGACATATACATGATGTGTCTAGCTTCGTAGCCCTCATCATTCAGATGTTGTATGGCAGTGGCCCTTAAACAATGCCCTGTATATATGCGTGAAAGGCCTGCCGCCTTGCTGATTTCTTTCATGAAGTTTGAAAATGTTCGTTTGGAAAGCGGGGCATCTAGGTACCATTTTGATGTACTTTTTGGTAGGGAAACGGATTCTGAGTTGTATTTATTGAAAAGGGATGAGGCAGATTCATCTGTTTTTTCAATTAATAGTTGGAGCATTCTTACAGGGCACGATTCAGTATCTGTAGCATACATGCGTTTATCAGTGTTCATTTCCACATTTCCTAAACCACCTTGGTGATTCTTTTGCTGTATCTCGTGGCTAAGTGTAACGTATGCACCCGTGTCGTCGGATTGAAAAGAGAATGAATCCAACTTCAGTTGGTGATGAAATTCTTGGCCCCTAGAAATGAAGTGGATTGCAATATTGAAGTAGACGCATTGTCGGAGAATGATTGGGTTAAGTTGCGCATCCTTGAAGTAAGTAGATATTTTTTCCATATCACATTTTTCGATCAGGTCTTTGTGCTGTGTTGATTTTGAGGTGCCCTCCCTAACACGCTCTTTCAACAATCCATTTAGGACTCCATTAGATGTTTTAAAATCTTTGTCTTTAACAATGTCTATGTTTCTTTTTAGGTCTGCCAATTTTCGGTTTATAGCCCCTCTCAAATTTTTCAATGTATTTTTATGATAAAGTTCCCCATCTTTTAAGGGCCTTGCCTCACAGTAAAATTTCTCAAGGAGACTATTAAGTTGACTTGGTGATATTGCTTCTAAATCTACAGGCTCCCCTCTTCTCTCAATGCTCCAGTCTAATATGAAAGACAAGGTATATCCTAAATTATAATTATGCATGGAATGTTTTTGTTAGACTTCTACTGCATATGAGATTTATTTTGGACAGAAATATTGACATTACATATTCATTTCACATTTAAATGCTGACATGGTGTATTGGCGCACACTTTCCTTTACAAAAAGGAATGAGGGACAAAAAGGAATGAGGAACGGGTTCAATCCCTGTTGTTGGCTTTTTTTAAAATTAGAAATGAAAAGTAATGCCAATTTTCCATATATAAAAAAAATAGAATTTACTTTTTTGTGTATTGCTTAAATTAAACATTTTTACATTTCCCATCTTACATGTATTTACCTTGAAACAATTTACATCCCCAGTTAGTGTTTTTCTTGGTTGCGAGAGTTTGGCGTGCTTCAAACAACCTGTTCACATCGTCGTCTGTACTTTCTTTAAATCTATTGCCTATTTTATGCACGTTCAGAGGGGTGGCAGGGGTCTCAGGCTTGGGGAGGTCAGAAAAGGCAGGGATACTGAGGTTTTCTGTGATATCTTCTACTTGACTACAGCACAACATGTCTAAGTTTTGAAAATCAATTGTCTCAAAATCGAAATCGTCAAACTCCATTTGTATTTCATCAAAACCAAAGTGACCAAACTGATGCTGGCTCTGAGGAGAACTATCCATTGTATGGAAATATACATCACATTTGCAGACGATTGTGTATACAGTTATATTGGAAATGAAATGAAACAAAAAATGGCAACAAAATGAAGATTTATTTTTCATAATTTATTAAAATTTTGACTGACACGATAATAAGCACCGTCAAAATACGTTTGTTTACATTTAGATGTACTTTTATAAAGTAGTCCAAAGAATGTGCATATTCATACGCGGGCAGATTACTTTGAGAAAAACCCGGATTATCTGTGTTAGGAATAGTGACTGGTTTATGGAGAGATGAAAGCAGTGGTTTTTTTTATAAGAAATAAAGGAAGAAAACTTTAGTGGATGTAAATATTTTGTAGTAACCCAACTCATTCAGCGGATTGGTCGATTTGTCAGTCACGTGGTACATGTAACCTCATTTAGCATGTAAATTTATTCTGACGTCACAGAAAATAGTTTCCTCGACCTGTTCAAGTTTGATATAAATTTGATCCGCCACATGTCATCTTAGTGTCTAAATCAAATAAAATGCGATCTGCGCATGCTTAGTACCTAGCGGAGAGGTCTTAGTCTTAGGCCCAGTCCTACGCCGCTTTCTGAAACGCGATTTAGGTCCGTCTAAATTATGGCGTAACTTTTTTAGTCGGAGTAACTTAGGCCAAAATCTACGACTTTTTGAGAAACGAGCCCCTGATGTTATGGAGGTCCGTGGTTGCTCTGTTCCTAGTTTGTAAAATCCACCTGTGACGTCATTCTTTTGTTTGAGCGCTCCATTGCTTTTAAGGAATGGAGAGTTGCAAATTTCATTGATAACGGAATTTCTTATGTTCTTTTTCTCCTTTCCGTGCCTCTACCGAGGAAAGAACTTAGATTTTTTTTTGAGAAAATGTTTAGAAAATGTAAGAGTTGATTTTCACATTATGAAAATATTATTGCCCATGGTAAGAATCGAACCCGGTATCCTTCGCTTTCTAGTCGGGTACTTTTTTTTTTTATCTTTTATTTTCTAGTCGGGTACTCATTTCACTGAGCTATCGAAGCTGTTGGGAAACATTGGATTAGAATAATTTTTGTACACTTTTTTTCGCTTTACTTTATAGAGAAAATTAAAATAAATACTACTAATATATAATGTCTATTTACAGTGTATGATTAAAATATTCTTAATTTTATATGAACGAACAATAAATAAAAGCATTAAAAGGCGGATTTTACGCGGGTTAATATACTCGTAGCGCTCCATTCCTTAAAAGTAATGGGCCTCGGCCCCTTCGGGGCTCCATTACTTTTAAGGAATTGAGCGCTACTCGTACATTAACCCTTACGTAATGTTTCATGGACTTTTGATCTTGAATACTGTTCGTTATCTTGAGATGTTTCTTCGTACCCCTTATACAAATGAGAAAAAAAATTGAAAGGGTGTTTAAATGTTGCATTATTACACTTTTTTGTTATTCTTATTCAAAGGATTTATTATTCTTATCATAAAACATGTAATTCATGTTCGACAAAATGTGATTCCTATTCGATGTTATAATTCCTATTCGAGTAAATGTAATCCCTATTCGATAATCTGTAATATCAATTCTATTACTTGTCATTCCCATTTAAAGATATATGAATTATATTCCAAAAATATATCATTGATATTACAAAACATATTACTCCGTATTTATATTCGAAACCGTAATGCCTATTCGATGATTTTGTCATTCCTTTTCGATGATTTATTCATTCTTTTCCGATAATTATGTGATTATTTGCATTAAACATGTTATTCCTATTCGAAAACTTTCAAATCTTATTCGATACTGTTTTTTATTTGAAAAGTTTATGATTCTTATGCGATGTATTCCGATTCCATAATTGCATTCTAGGTATTATAAAGAAAATAAAGTGAGTCAATTTATCGAAAAAGAATAATAAGATTCTCAAATAAGAATTATATACTTTTGATCTAGAATGAGATATTTTTTCTAATAGAAATATGTTTTTGGAATATAAATAATTTAGATTAACAAGTTAAGAACGCCATAATTATCAAATAGGATAGAACATCATATCAAATACGAAAGGTTAATTATTGAAAAAAAAATCACATTTGTCTCATAAATTAACAAACAAATATTAATTAATTGATAATGTCAAATAGAAGTGACATGTTTTGGAATAAGAATAACATTTTTTTAATGGGAATAGCAAAGAAGTATCAAGATCCATCGTTTAATTGACATACTAGTAGTGTGATGATATTTATTTATTTGTCAAATGGAAAAATACTCTTAACTTACCGGTTAGGATATGTCCTTTAGATCTAAGACCTCATACTAATTGAAATAAGCGTTCGGATACCTACATTCAAGTAGGCAGCGAAAGGCTGTCGGAACTTATCAATAAAATCAATATTAATAAAATTTTCAAACATGTTCCAGTCCAATATCTTTTAAAAATCCACATGTGATGTCACTCTTTCGTTTAATCGTCTATTAGTTTTTTAAGGAATGGAGAGTGAAAATAGAATTTGCTATGTTCATATTCTTCTTACTTTTCTTCTACCGAAAAAGAACTTAGAATATTCTAATAATTTATTAAATAAGATTATTTTCATATAAAAACACATATAATTTACTTAAAATGGAGATCTCTATTCTATGACGTTGCTATATAAATCTAGCGCAGCGTCGGACTGGGCTGTGCAGTTTGTGTATACAAACTGTTTATTTAGATGACGCTCGTAAATGTTTGTGCATTGTTTTGAATTTTAAAAATTAAATAAACTATAATCTATACATAATGATTATTGATAGCACTTTGATGTGCATTGCGCCTTAAAAAGAAATGTAATGTGTGTCCATGAACATGTGTTAAGTCAAAATCCAAATGTTTGACGTTATAATGTAACTAGCTTAACGTCAGACTGGTCCGTGCGCGCAATCTGCGATGTTTAAAGACCCCGATTTCTACAAAAATATTACGTTCCATCAATAAAAATTAAACCATTATGACTTGTTTTTTCATAAGAAATATTTTGATATACAACAGATGCATATAGAACCATTTATTTTGACAAAAACGTCATTGTCCACGAACTTTTTGGACAACCCTCGTATGTTTTGATATTCATATATTTTCTCACAATAAATTGATTTTAAATTCAGTATATCAACGCTTAAAACATATTTACGAGGGTTGATCCAAAAGTAATGTCACAGTATCCATATCTTTTATATTTGGTGTCATATTATCAAATTTAATATACCAAAATATGCACAAATATAAATCTAATTAACATTAAATTTTTTATTTAATAATGTTTATTTGAATTTATTTTATAGATGTTTAAAACATAGAGCATAGGGGGTGTCGCCGCGTCACAACGGAACGTCACGTTTTAAAGTGTATTTTTTCTTAGAATGAAAAAGACAAACAGATTAAAAAGATTCTAAAAAAGCACCTAATCTACCAATTTTTTTAAAGACACAAATCTCGTCATTTTCTAGTCTTTAATTGAAAATTAAATGACGGCATTGGTATTTGTGATCATAAAAATTGTTGTTTTACTTTCACTGTTGAGTTGAACAAAGGGAATGTCGAAATGGGAAAAACGGCCCGAGGAGTTAAAATGCATTTTTGCTTCAAAATATGGGAATCATTAAAAGCGACAGTTACGTTAATTAATCAGACTTACAGAATAGAGAATGTAAATAAGAGATTTCTTAATAGATGGTTTCAGCAATTCTGGGCGGGTGATTGGTCACTGAATGATCAGCAGAGGACAAGAAGACCAAAAGATAGGAGATCGGACGGAAACGTTCAATGGTGTCTGACGTTGTCAAAATGACAGACGTTTAAGGTGACAAGTGAATTTTTAAGTTTGACTTATGCTTCTGTTCAAAACAATTTGACAAAGGGCTTAATTATAAAAAAAAGTGAGTGTATAATGGTACCAAAAAATCTTAAAGAAAGTGGAATTGGTGAAAGTGTTTGCAAATCACAAATATTATTTAAAGAGACGAAGGGGAAAAGCTTAAAAGTATGACGGTGCGTATCAGTCGTATGACGTTATATTTAGGTGCGGCGACTACCATGACCACACATTGTTTAAAATATGATATTTTGGAAAGTATACATCACATTTCTATGAAATTTTCAGGTCTGATTTAAAATAAATAAAGCTTTTATCATCTATAATTTTGTTGCTTTACTTCGATTTATAGCAATTTTATCAAAGTTGTGACATTACTTTTGGATCAACCCTCGTACCATTTACTTTTTGACAGTCCTTTAATCTCCTCATTTCATTTTTTTCAAGGAAACCTCAAGGTGCAAGAAATGCCTGTGTTGTTTTTCACCCAATGTAAAGACAAGCTTTAAAAAGAAAGATGTCCTCGGGAACTAATGGATATTTTTTAAAATACTTCTTCTACTGTACAATATGAATGAAATAGTCTATCTTTAAATGTTAAAAGCGTTTAAAGCATATCATATAACTTAATAAACTAATACACCCACGTCGAGGTTGAACCTTATAAAATGATTATAAAATTCAATTCTCAAGCAAACATAAAGCTAGGAGACAAACATATCTGTAATTTGTTTTCAATTAAAAAACCATCTCTGTTCAAAAAGGTGCAATGTTGCAGACATCGTTTTGCAATCGTAAGCTAATCAAATGGTCTACTTTTAACAAATCATTTGAAACGTTTAGGCTAATAGATATAAATAAAATATAACTTCAGTAAATTGAAAATCCTTTCAAAAGTTGTATCTCAAAGAGTGTGTCTGTAACATGATTTCAACGGTAATGTAAGCATAAATGGATTTAATTTATTCCAAAACATTTGAATACTCTGTCTATTACATGAATGACTTATCGGATATACTATGTAAATTGAGGAAATTCCATTCCGATTTCGATTTCCCTCTTGATATCTCCTAGATAACGTGTTTTGTATTAGTTTTATATTTTAAATTAATTATTTACAGTACATGATATTGCATCTCAAAAGTACCAG